AAAGTAAATTAAAGTAAAGAGAATAGTTCTTAGTTCAAATCAGTCATCAATCCACATATTTTTAAATGGAATCGCTGTGTAGAGGTGCCATAAGAAATTCCATCGACCCATTTTGTCCCCTGAGCGTCGTGATCTTATAGCGCGCACTTTTCCATTTATAAACGTAATAACATTACAGAAACAGCTCTGTCTTCCAATCCAAATGTGACAGGACAATTATTATCGTTCGAAAACATTGTGTCCGGCGGCCAATAATTTATTCGATTTATCTTTCGCCTTTTTGGACGTTCTCTCACCCATAGCGTAAACGTATTATTCATTCCATCAAAAACAATTCGTAACATGAAACTGTGAAAATATTAAGTGTCATGCTGAAAATGGACAGTGAGAACGAATATTTCTGGATAGCGTGTGTAACTACCATATATCAACGCCGATTCACTGACAACTTATTACGTTAAACAAAATAAGTTTTCCACGTGATTATTCTTATATGTATTTTTTTTATAGGATAGGGTGACAAACGATCACACAGACCACCTCATGGCAAGCGATTTCTGTGGCCCATAGACATCTACATTTATTCTCGTTTGCGAATCAAAATGCAGATGCGTTGCCACCCGTGAGGACTAAGATGGAATGCCTCGTTTCCAGTAAAAAGGGTCTCCGGTTCTCTACACTCACCATACGAAACACAGCAGTGTTAAGCTGGTATTTGACGCTGGTATTCTGTGAGAGCGTGGTCCTTCTCCGGTCGAGCCGACCCATTCGTGCTACAACTATACTACTAATATAGCTGCAGCATGGCTCTACCACGTAAAATCTAGTATCTAATTATAGTAACATTACTAGGTGGTAGGACTTTTTTCTGTCTAGGAGTTCACCTGGACAGGTATTACCCTCTAACCTATGTTCCAGTATGATGGGAAAGTAATTACAGACAGTACGGCGTTTCATCTTAGTCCTCGGAGGTACAAACGCATCTGCTGTAGTTGTCAATTATATGCGAAAACTAATATTCCGATATATACTATTCGACAATCTGGGTGATGGTAGATACAGGTATTGATAAAATCCTTTGTGCCTGTGTCTATCGATCGCACAGCGGGGACCAGGAGACAACACGATTCTTTGATCACCTTAGTGAGGCTGCTGACGTGGCCCTAAATCGGTATCCTACTGCACAGGTGGTCTTTCTCGGGGACTTTAACGCTTGTCACCAAGACTGGCTGTTCCCATAACAGAAGACCGACCAAGAGAAGCGTGGAGTTTTGCTTTGACGCTAGGTCTTTCTCAGATGGTAAAGGTACTAGGGTACCCGATGTAGACGGTCACAGCAAATCGCTTGGACCTTTTGCTGACTACCGAACCAGATAGATATGAAGTACAGGTTACCTCTCCTTTGGGTACATCTGACCTCTGTCTGATGAAATCTGTATCGTCATATTCTAAACCTCATTACGAGTTCCAAGGTGTTCGATGAATATGGCAGTATAAGTCAGCTGATTGGTTTGCGATGCGAAACTTTTTTGCATTTTATCCTTGGCGGGAGGTCTGTTTCTCTCCTGCAGATCTGAAAGAGAAGCTATGGTAGCGCGTCTGAATCTCACACTACAGGCAGTCTCCAAATGGGTTGATGCCAGTCTTGTGAAATTCAACGCCTCCAAAACACAAGCGTGTCTCTTCACTGCAAAAAGGAGCTAGTCAGCTTGGCTCCTTCTTTCCGAAATGTATCACTGGAATATACCGACCGCCTTCAATTGTTAGGGTTTGAGATATCCTCAAATCTGAACTTCGGGCGGTTCATTGAGTCCAAGGTCAAAGCAGCTGCAAGGAAGCTGGGAGTCCTTGCAAAGGTGCGGCGATACTTCAGGCCGGGACAGCTGCTTACTTTATATAAAGCGCAAGTCCGGTCGTGCATGGAGTATTGCTGCCATATATCGGCTGGTGCTACAAAATGCCACCTAGCAGCTTTAGACTCAATGGAAAGGCATGCTAAGAGGTTTATTGGGTACCCGAATTTGGTTAAAACCAATCTTACTAGCTTGGAACACAGACGCATAGTAGCCAGCCTGTCGGTTTTCTACAGGATGCATTTCGAAGAATTTGCGCAAGAATGGCATAATTTAATTCCTCCCTCTCCCTTCCACCATCGGACATCCAGACGTTCGGCCAGTCTCCACCCTTTCGTTGTTGACTTACCACGCATTCGAACCAAACGGTTCGCTACGTCGTTCATCGTGCGTACAGCAAAGGAGTGGAATAAGTTGCCAGCATCTGTCTTTTCATCCGATTACAGTGCTTTTGTTAAGTTAGTGCGCTTCACCATCTTAGGCTACATCACCACTTACCATCAGGTGGGATCGTAGATAAGCGCTGGCTTAGTAGAATATAAAAAAAATATTGTAAAGAGTACAAAAAAAGGTCCTATATTTGACGCGTAATTTTTTTTTATTCTCTTGTAAAATATCAAATAGTCTATTCTTTAGGGGTGGTAAAACTAAAGAAATACTTTCCACATAATGGTGCTTAAGTGATTCATTAGAGCAGTATTTATAATGACAAGTCAAACAGGGCCATGTAATTAATACTGATTTAAACTTCATTATTTATCATATTGTCTGGTCATTATGAATATTGCTACTGTAGAGGTTAAAGGGAATTTCAGTTATGTTATAATAACAGTCCTAGTATTTTTAAAAAAATGTGGCCTATTATTTCGTTCTCGTCTTTGTGTCAGTGCTTTAAAGATGGTAAATATACATTTTGACTGTTTAAATAAAAAGTTAATAAAAAACCAAATTTAATTAACAAAGTTAACCATATTGAATAAACTATCATATCTAATGCATTCATATCAATCCACAATTTCATAGCTTGCTGATTTATATTAAATCATTCATATTTATGCCATCTAGTGCCTATCTTATGTATCACTTTGAAAGTCAATGAATTTTCGTTCGATAAAATGACTTTACCTATGGAAATTTTACTCGAAAGAAAATATTCTTTTGATTTATTACACTAAAATTAAGTCTAAAAATAAGGATCGTAACATTTATTTGCTATAAAATTAAACTTTTATCTTATACTTATGCCGCATTTGTGGTTGAAAATGATCATATTAGATAAATAATTTGCCGTGAAATATATTTATTTTATATTTAATTTCATTTGAAGATTTCACTTGTATCACGTGTGAACTGCACACATGTTTTTTATTTCTCAGACATGTAGATTTTCTCACGGTGTTTTCCCTTACCGCTGAGCACGTGGTATAGCAGTATTTAAAATCGTAATTATTAATTTCATTGGAGCCGGCGGTGATCGAGCCCGAGTTGTTGTTGTTTGCGTACAATGATATTTACGACGAGCGCTTAGCCCCTGCCTCTAATATTAAGCCTCTTAATAATATTAAGCCTCGGTTTGTTTGGACGATTACCCTGAATGGCTGGTTAGATTTAAGTTATTTTTTTTTATAATTTAAATATGCCGTGAAATAGAATAGAAAATGGGATAACAATTATTTAGTAGTAATGTTTAGTTTGCTCCCACCGAAGCAGACGATACCAGGTGGATATTTATAGAATATTTAAAATTCAATTTCAAATTAATAATAATTTATACTAACTAAATTATAGTACTTGGCTTTGTGATATAATTATTGTTGGGTATTTGTGATTTTTTTTAAACTCGGGTCATTAAAGAAAGATACATTTCAAGTGATGTCGAAACCATGCTCTAATTCTTGACATACGTTCAAGTACTCGTCTTCCGTCATCCATGCCATCCCTTCTTTAACAGCCTCATATAGCCCACATAAACCACGTTTGTTATAAATGATTTTAGAATTTCAGTTGCACAAAACGTGTGCGTGAGTACGGATTCTTACAACAATTTTAAGATGCTGTTAAGCTTGGCTTGATATGGGAGTAACTTAATATGTCGCGGTCTATGAAAAAATATTAAAAAAATAAACCGACATCGGTGCGAGCATAGATTAGGAAGTATATTCTAAATCCATGGGTGTGAGTGACGAAGTGTATTGGCACATTTGAATTTTCACCGGACTTGAAGCTCACGTATGACAATCCCACCTGATGGTAGGTAGTTAACACGCTCATATGCCATATGTATGCACTATTTATAGGCTACAGCAGCAGTGTTGCTAGTGCGAAATTGGGATATTTTTTCAATCAATCTCGTTACTCATTTAGAGAGCCACAAAGCGAGTACAATTTAATCGCCTTAACTCTAACTAACTCTAACTGGAAAAGAGGCATTCTATCTTAGTCCCTCACGGCTGATAACGCATCTGCATTTTTATTCGCAAACGAAGATAGATGTAGATGTCTATGGGCCAGAGCAACCACTTACCATCAGGTGGACTGTGTGCTTGTTTGTCACCCTTATTCAATAAAAAAAACTCTATTTCTATATCAAATAACTTCATTACCAACATCGTTTTTGAGTTAAAAAATAAATCATTTTTAAATTATTTCCAATAAATAAAACCTTTAAATATATTATGTAATTGGGTTCATTTTTCAATCATAAAAGTTATTCATAGAATAAAAAGCTACATAAACAAATTAAAAATTATAGTTGTATGAATTAAATAGTCCAATGTACACTTTGCATTCAGTTAGTCACAGATTATAAACTTTTATCTCACTTGAAAAACTAGCACTAAGATTCATCACCTAACGAGTAATCTTAGAATAATTAGATACATACGCGATTAATGTATATCTTTACATATTCATGTAATTAATAAATTTTTACTATGGTAACAGTTCTAATAATATGTGAATAAAAAAGTTGACAGAATTGTCAATGTGACATAGGATCTAATGTATTTCTGTCGATTCAATCTGTTCATATAAAAACAACATTGTTTCATATTAATACTATATGAAATAATTTATATACTTTTACAAAAATTTAGAATTATCACTAATTAATGGTCCCATATGAATAGTAAGTCAGTATTGAATCAAATGGCGTTTGGTAAGTATAAAGTGCTTATTTTAAAATTGGTTTTCTTACCTTTCCTTAAGGTTAAGATTTATAAAAATAAACACGATATTGTTTAAGTAATAATATGTAAATATTGTCACTTATATATTGTTTTATATCTAAAAAAAATACAAAAACATCAATATAAGTACATTTACCTATGCCCAGTTATATAGTTAAACCTTATCCAAAAAATATAATAACAGTAAAGAAAATATTGAAACAGATTACATCAAATGATTTTTTCAATAAATAAGGCTTTTTAATGTTACCTATTTTTGTATAACTAGAAATGCCTTATTTTGTTAAAACTGAAAATTCAAATACATAATATACATCATTTTGCAGACCCAGCACCCGCAAAAATTGCAGATATTAATTTGGATAATTATTTTCTTGACCATCAATTTTATAATACCGACGTTTATGTGCATAAGAAATTCTTACCTAAAAGTAAAATAAATGAAAAATCGCGTCACGAAGTTAAACCACCTGCTGGTATTGTTGAGCAAGGTAAACACGATAAAAATCAGCAGTGTGAAAGAGAAAAAGGTATGAAAAAATTTTACAATGAGAAGAAAAAAATCCATGCAAGTCTTCATGATGACTCCGTGATAGAGCAAACAGTAAAATTTGCGAAAACCATAATTCCACGCGTAATACCTCCAAGTAGAGAATACTCTCCGACACCTGTTTTTTATACCATAAAAACATCTAAGAAACTTGGAAAAAAACTTTCTAAACTTTCCAGTATAAATAATGAACACTGTGAAAAATTTAACAAAACTACGCCTAAAGCCGTAGCGAAAAAGGCAGACGAAGAGAAAGTAAGGGTTCATAGTGCAATGGATGCATGTAGTCATTCATCTCCAGATAATACTTTAGATGAATTTCATATAAATCAAAGTTCGAATTTTTCGCTCTCAGAATCTTCCGCTAACGATCCAAATAAAATATCCCAGAATAAAAGAAAACGTGAACATGATATAAGACAAAAAGATAATCCATCTGAATCACTTAAGGCTATAGCTACAGAAGTAAATACTTCCAATCAAGTTGAAATTAAAATAAGTTTAATGAATGATTCAGAAAAAAGTAATTTCATTGAAAGTTTAAAAGCGCCCGTTATCAACTCTTTTAATGAATATTTAAATGAACTAAACAGTCCTTTATCAGAAGAACTGCAAGGTATGAAAAAAATACTGGCTTCAAACACGCAAAAGTTAGATTATATGGTACAAATTCTAGGTGACATTGAAAATAAAATTATAAGGTATTCTGATAAAACTACAAAAATAATTATGTCTCCAAAAACCATATCTTCTAAAGCATCTAGATTAGAGGAGTTAGCAGGAGACTTGACAGAAATAAAAGAAGGAACTATCACTGATGATGAAGAAAATTACGAAACAGATGCCACAAAGCCAATGACTACTAAAAGTGCTTTAGTAACAATGATTCCAAATCACCAAAATAATGGAAGAGAGAATAAAAATGAAAACGTAGGTTATGGTGATAGTGTTCCCATACATTTGAATGCTGCATGTAGTCAATTAGGGGTCAAACCAGATCGCCCGAACAGAATTCCTGCTAGATTTTGTTGGACAGATACGACTAAAAATGTTTAAATTATACCTAAATTAATTTTATAGCGCTTAAACAACTATAATGAATTTTGGTAGGAAATTTACGAGGATTTTGGTGATAATTTTGGTTGTAAATATTTTTATTTATGTAGTAGTTTAGACTCTTTATATTTAATATATAAAAATTTATATTTGTTTGTTCGTATTTTATGCGCTGCCATACCGTTCATTACACAAACTTTGTAAACGTATTGCTTGCACTTACACGTTATAGCCATAGTACAATAATTACTTCAATGAACCTAATTTCCGTCCTTCCTAATAAAACAGCATACCAAATTTAAAATGATATTTCCACAATTAATTCTTCTGTGGCAGCAACGCGCCGTGTACCAGCTAGTTACTAATAAAATAAAATTTCTAAGTACTACAGTGACTTTTTTGATGATAAAGAAGTACAAATCTCTATATATAAATATCAATTGCTGTCTGTTAGTCTCGCTAAAACTCAAAAACGGCTCGACCAATTTGAAGAATATTTTTGTGTGATTAAATGGGTTCCCAGATGGTGTAGATTCACATTTGAACCCGGTAGGTAGTGCTGTTAACGTGATCCAAAAATCACCCGTGTGAAGCCGGGGCGTATTGCTAGTTAATAATAAATACCGTAATTTTTTATCTTACAACACTTGAAAAACTACTAGTAGTATTTAGCAGAGAAACTGAAAGTTTTATATGCAATTTTTTGTGGGTGTCATTTGTTAGAAGCTACGATCTTTTAGTTCTTAACTTCTTCCTCACTTTATAAAGCCGGGATTAAGTTGAGTAATGCATTCTCTTTTGCCAGTCCTACGTTGATACCACGCCCATTGTTATATAATCGTATTAATAGAATAAAACTTCCTGTGTCATGTTCAATAAATATTTTTCTAAGTTTTAAAGTCAACATACGTTCCAATACTGGGGCACAAACTTTTACTGCATTCTGAAACGGTTTTAAAGTAATAAAGTCGCATTGTAACAATTTCCACATTTAGCGTTGGTGGCTTTGATGGTGGTATGGGTATTTTAATTTTTATTACTATGCAGGTTTCCTCACTAAGTTTTCTAAAGTTACCAAGCACGTACATGGTTTACCTGGTAGAGCCACGCTGCAGCTATATTATGGTTGTAGCATGAATAGGTTGGCTCGATCGGGGAGGATCACGCTCTCACAGAATACCTACCTAAAATAGCACTTTAATGCTGCTGTGTTTCGTATGGTAAGCGTAGAGAACTTGAATCCTCAGGGGTGACAAGGCATATCCATTTTCATTCTTATTCGAAGATAAATCTACATTTATGTGCCCCATAAATATCTACATGTTTATGGGCCATAGCATCCACTTACCATCAAGTAGACTGTGTGCTCATTTGTCATCCTTATTCTATAAAAAAAACGTGCGTTTGTCAACGTAGTAAAATACAACATAGTAAATAAACGAACTCAATTTGCTCTACCATGAAAGTGAAAGCGCTCTCCTAAGCTACCATAACTTCATTCCGTTTAAATAATATTCAAATTTAACCTTTTTTTTTTACATACTCAGTTGACGACAGTTCACTTCAGTTCAGTTGGACTTGGTTTCTCGTATTCGTAATTAATTTTGAATTATGTAAATGCGTTTAACAGTCTTTTGATTCAATATTTTTTTAAATACAATACATTCTAAATACAATTCATACTGAATAGAATAAATGAATTCGCTGTGTTGCCGTGTAACAAAAATACATAATATTCTATATTTAGTAAATAAAACTGAGTATACAGAAAAGGAAGGAGAATCGATTAACATCTCTAATAGCTCTGTATCAATTTTGACATAACGTTGTGGATATTCGGTCAACTGTGATTTACGGTGGTAATACACGCGATCTAGAATCAGCTTTTCATTATATTAATTGACAGTCCATTTTGAGTATGCTTCGTCGTTTGTAATACGTACGGTAAAGAGAGGAATAATTTGCCAGCAACTATCTGTCTTTCCATCCGACTGCAATATGCGTATCTGTGGGCTAGAGGCTTTTGTTAAATTAAATAATTGTGGTTTACCATATTTCGCTAAATCACAACTAATTTACTATTACATTTTTTTTATAGGATAGGGTGACAAACGAGCACACAGTCCACCTGATGGTAAGTGGTTGCTGTGGCCCATAGACATCTACATCATCCTCGTTTGGGAATCAATATGCAGATGCGTTGTCACCCGTGAGGACTAAGATGGAATGTCTCTTTTCCAGTAAAATGGGTCTCCAGTTCTCTACACTCACTATACAAAACACAGTAGTGTATGCTGCTAATTTACGCTGGTATTCTGTGAGAGTGTGGTCCTTCCCCGGTCGAGCCGACCCATTCGTGCTACAACTATACTACTAATATAGCTGCAGCATGGCTCTACCACGTAAAAACTACTACTACGTACTATTTACTCGTACATCATGTGGAGTAGTATTCCAACATTATCTTTAAATAGTTTTAAAAAAAATCACAAAACGTTAATGGGTAAATAAGTAATGCAAGTTTATAAAATCACTAATCAGTCAATGCAATTTATTTTTAAACATGCTGTACTCTGTTACTAAACGTAGTAATTACATTGAGATCTTTGATTAGTACAAAATTATATTTAATTAATGAACATTCTGGCCTATTTCAACGTTATAACGATAAGGTGTTTTATCACAAACTGGCCAACATCAAGCACGTGCAGAGTTATTGTTTACATTTCTTTCCTAATATAATACATTCACTATGTACATATTTATAAAAGCCTTATAAATTTTGGTTATTTCATCTAAGATTAATATATTATGTTATTTACATAATAACTATTTCCACAATGATACTACTTAATCCTTTATTTCATATTTATACTCATCGAGGAAGGTACGTATTGTGAGGGAAAGTATTATGTACAAGAAAAAGAGTGAAATAATAATAATTGTGTCGTGTGCATTAGTGCATTACAGCTTTACAAGACAAAAGCAAACGCTTTAAGCCAGATATAGAGTAAAACTCCTGTAAAATTTAGAGATAAACAATAATAAATAGGACATGCATAAGAATTAAAAAAATTGTGTGGTATTAAGCAGTAATTATAAATGTTACCACAATATTTACTACTTTAAATTAGAATCTTATTGCAGTGTAAAAGGTTATATCTTCTGTTATATTTGAAGCTTCAGAATGGTTACAAACAAGCGGAGCATATTTAAAGTAAGAGAAGTTGAATATAGATAAGTTGGAAAAAATACTAAATAGAAGGCGATCACTCACCAAAGTCTGAGCAGCTGCCTGGTGCTGTAAAAACAGGCCTTAGTCAGTAATGACAGTTAAAATAAAGAAGATTTGAAGATTTCAGGGAAAGAAAAAGTAATATAATGAGAAACAGGTGTGTAATTAGGTGTGTTTTAGCTGTTATTTAACTTTATTTTATTGGATAAGTTTTATTGTATATATTAGTCCACAAAGCTCTCCGATTTAGCAAGTCTAAAGGGCAATGCGTTGCTCACATCTCACATAAAACTTTTAAATGTAACAGATGAAAAGCGATCCGTTAAATTCTGACTACGTCTAGACTTACTTACTATGGATAGCCCTCTTAGTAAATGTCAAAACGAATTGAATTTGTAAAGCCCGTGCGTAATAGATAGAGACATACAAGAGGACCTTTTCAAATTAGTAAACCTATACTTTGTATTTGGAATCCAGCTAAGTGGGTACAACCTTCCCTATTTCTGAGGCTATTTATACCAGTTAAAATTATAGATCATGAGGGTTCTGAGGCATTCCAGCTTAGTTATTATAGATGACATCTATAACCTGCATCATTAGAAGTTCTTGTTGATATCCATGATCTGCAGAGACTATCAAGTAGGATAGGAGCTAGTTTGTCTTTGTAACGTATCAAAACATCTATGTATAAGGATTATGAAGTTTGTTTAAATAAAACCATAAAGATCATTTAGGCTTTCATGTAATAGTAGAATACATGTAATGTTACTAAATAGGAACCATAATGATATGTTCTACTTGTAGTGATTGTATACTCTATGATATGTACGCAGATACCGGTGGCTCAGAACCGTATGTTTGACATTCCTTTAGTGAGTCCTATGTTCAACAGTGGACTTTTAATAATGATGACGATGATGATTGCTACGACAGCGTTGTTACATTGCAAGAGTACAGTCAGATGTTTCTAATAGAGTTATGTTCACGGTGTGTGCAATAAAGACAGGAAACCAATTTCCCGGAGCTATTTTCATAAATTCTTGTAATAATCATTAGGGAAGAAATTATATCAAGATGAAATTGTAGACGCGTTGCGCAATGTTCGAAATCATGTACCCGTTATTAAGTTAAGATCTTGGCCGCCGTCCAAACGGCAGACCCAACAGTTTCAACTACAATAACTAAATGTACAATGTACCTATACCTCTTTGGAGATTGTTCGATCACTTGAGAGATATTGAACGATACTCTGATTTATGAAAGCAGTTATTGAATTCATCCGATCATTAATTGCAGCCCATCAGAAGTTCAGTGTTTAAAGTTTTTATTTTTTTATAGGAGAGGGGGCAAACGAGCATGCGGCTCACCTGATGATAAGTGACTACCGCCGCCCATGAACAACTGCAACACCAGGAAGGGAATTGCAGATGCGTTGCCGGCCTTTTAAAAAGGAGTACGCTCTTTTCTTGAAGGTCCCTAAGTCGTATCGTTCCGGAAAAATCGCTGATGGTAATCGATTCTACAAGGAAGTCGTGCGAGGAAGAAAACATCTTCTAAATCACACAGTGGTGGACCGCCAATCATCCAGATGGTGTGGATGGTATCGGGAGTTCTGCCGCGATGTGCGCCTATAGTAGCTTGGCAGGCGGCTTTTCAACCGCAGGTATTTTTATTATGTTGTAATCAGGATGATGCTGCTGTTCGTCTCCTCTTTCAGTTTCCTTGTGATGCCTCTTGCTACACTCAGGGGATAATAGGGGGGGGGGGGGGGGTGTATTCACTTTTCCCTGCAGACCTATTTTACTGGAATATCTTAGTCCTCACGGCTGACATCGCATCTGCATTTTAATTCGCAAACGATGATAGATGTAGATGTCTAAGATGTCTGTAGATGTAAACAAAATATATCAGGTGGTCTGTTATTTTTTTGTTAAAAAAAACTTTGTTAAGTAAGCCAACGATCATATAGCAAAAGGTTTTCGCAGTTTTTTTTTTATAATAATAATAATAATTTATTTGCTTAGAATGTAGGTAGATCTTACAAAAGTATTATTAAAGCATAAAGTTCCGATACATTCTGCCTTATCAAGGCGTGCAAATTTTAACTGAATAGTATAAGTTGCAATACATTTTTCTTTACAATAATTATTTATAAATTTTAGTCTAATATAATTATGTCCTAATAGTACTAATAAAAAATGTCCAATTAATAATAAAATAAATGTCAAAAGAATAATTACGAAGTACAATACCACACAATCATTTACAAAAATGTCAAAATACAAATGTTAACATGTAAAAACAATAAAATCAACCAACCAATAATTATTCTATCGAAGTCTTATTTTATTAACTTACAGCAAAAAATTCAAGCAATTTAGATACGGATATTAAATACGTCATTTGTTTTGATTTTTATGATCAAAATACTCATTAACGGTATAAAAACAGTTAAGTAAGAGCCATTCGTGAAGTTTGTTTTTTAACTTTGTCATTGGGAAATTTTTAAACTCGTCGGGTAAAGAATTAAAGATTTTAATCGCCATTATGTACGAATTTTTTTGAAAAAACATCAATTTACATTTCGCAAGGTATATTCTGTTATTAGATTTTTGTCTTAAACTTCTGTCTCTTAAAAAAATATTAGTTGGGAAGTATTCAGGGAATTGCTTGACAAAAGTCGCAGCTTGTTTGATATACATACATGCAAGTGGTAACACTTTTATTTCTTTAAATAATGGCTTGCACGATGCCATGGAATGTGCTCCACAGATTGCTCGAATGCATTTTTTTTGGATTCTAAATACGCGTTCTATTTCAGAACATTTGCCCCATATCAGAAGTCCATACTGCAATATCGATGAGACATAGCCATGATAGGCGTTTAACGCTGCTTTGGCAGATGCTATCTCTCGAAGTCGGCGAAGCGCAAATACAAATCTGTTTAATTTGTCACATATCGATTGAACATGCATTTTCCAGTTACAATTATTATCAATAGTAATACCAAGAAACTTATAATAACCAACTTCTTGTACCACTTTTTCATTATACTTTATACTTAAATTAGTTTGCTTGCTTCTAATCGTGTGAAATTGCATTATTTTAGTTTTATTTATATTTACAGTCATGTTGTGAGAATTCAACCAATCAATTATATCTTTTAATGTACTATTGATATCAAATTCAAAACGCCTTTTGTTCGTACATTTAAGAATGATTGTTGCGTCATCAGCGAAAAGAATCGTTTTATGAGGAGTTGTTGTTGGTAACTCATTAATATATATTAGAAAAAGTAGAGGACGCAGAATACTTCCTTGCGGTACACCATATTCGTTTAACCTATATTCAGACCTAAGACCAGGGGGTGCTAAGAATCTCCGGTGGAGGTTCGGTTGCCACCTACGACGACTCGACCTGGCAACATACAACGCACGCACCCTGAGGACTGATGAGAAGATTGTGGAGCTGGAAGAAGAGATAGACAAGTTACGCTGGCATATTATAGGATTATCCGAAGTCCGAAGAGAGGGGGAGGACACGGTAATCCTCGAATCCGGCAACTTGCTCTATTACCGGGAGGGTGACCATCTGTCCCAAGGAGGTGTCGGATTTATCGTCCACAAGTCTCTCGTTAACAACGTTGTAAAGATTGAGAGTGTGTCGACGAGGGTTGCGTACCTTATACTCAGAATCACCAAACGGTATTCACTGAAGGTCATACAGGTTTACGCACCAACCTCGGCACACCCCGATCAGGAGGTGGAGGAAATGTATGAGGATATCTCTAGAGCCATGCATTCCTCCAAAACCCAATATACGGTGTTAATGGGAGACTTCAATGCAAAACTAGGCACAAGAGAGAACGGTGAGCTGAAAGTAGGGAAATTTGGAATAGGGCAACGGAACCCAAGGGGCCAGCAGCTGGCCGACTTCATGGAGAAAGAGGGACTCTTTATGATGAACTCTTTCTTCCAGAAGCGGCCCCACAGGAATTGGACCTGGTCGAGCCCCGACGGTTCGACAAAAAATGAGATTGACTTCATTATGACGACCAGACGACAACTGTTCAGTGATGTCTCAGTGATCGCGAGGGTGAAAACCGGCAGCGATCACCGAATGGTTAGAGGCACACTGAACCTAAACGTTAAGTTGGAGAGGTCTCGTCTAATGAAGTCAACGCTCCGTCCCCCTCGTGCTCTAATCCAAAGTCCCGAAACCTTTCAGCTCGAGTTACAAAACCGTTTTCAGTGCTTAGAAGACTGCAATGAAGTGGACGATTTGAATGACAAGCTCGTGGAAACTGTCCATGCGGTCGGAGCTAAGTTCTGCAAGACCCGCCGCAGAAGAACACAAAAACTCTCCGATCACACTCTTAATCTCATGGCTGTTAGACGGGAGATGAAGCTACATTCTTCAACAGATTTAACAGCATACAGGCAACTGAACAGACAGATCTCCAGATGCATGCGGCGGGACTTACGCAACTTCAATACAGCTCGTATTGAAGAAGCGATCGAGCGGAACCAAGGCTCCAAAGTCTTTGCCAGAGATCTGTCTGCCAGAAAGCGCCAACTGTCAAAGCTGAAGACGGAATGTGGCAGCATCGTTTCCGGGGCACCTGAGATTTTGAGTGAGATTGAGAGGTTCTATGGGCAGCTGTACACGTCATCGTTGGAGCCGCACGCAAGTGTGAGTAACGATCCAAGAGCGAGTCTTATCCGACATTATTCCGATGATATCCCGGACGTCAGTCTGAGCGAGATTAGAATGGCTCTCCAGCACCTTAAAAACGGCAAGGCCCCAGGCGAGGATGGAATTACAGCGGAGCTTCTGAAAGCGGGTGGAAAACCGGTACTTAAAGTCCTTCAGAAGCTCTTTAATTCCGTCCTCCATGGTGGCATTACACCGGAGGCGTGGAGCAGAAGTGCGGTGGTCTTGTTCTTCAAGAAAGGCGACAACGCTCTCTTGAAGAACTACAGACCGATTTCCCTTCTGAGCCGCGTCTACGTGCTGTTTTCGAGAGTCATTACGAATCGTCTCGCGCGCAGACTTGACGACTTCCA